GAAGAGAAAAAGGCTTTATACAACAAAATATGTCTTATATTGATGATAAAATAACACTTTTTTTTAGAGAAATCCACAATTTAGAACTACAAATGATCGAAATAGATTAAAAAAATGACTTGAGACTTATCGCTTCTTCATATGCTACAAATCGTAATGTTGAATTAATCTAAATAGGATAATCAATTTGAGTTTCTATCTCTCTATTTACAGTCCACATCGATTATTTTAACTTAACTTGATCTTCTTTGCTTTGCTTTTGTAAGATTACAATTTCATATCTTTATACACACTATTAAATAATCTCATCTTCTAATAAGTTTTATATAAAAAATTATTCAGATTATTAAAATTGATCTAGAATTCTTTCTAATTAAAATGAAATTTACTGAATATCTACAAATCATAACAGCTACTAATAGACAGAATACATTACAACTTTCGATCAATCAATTACAAGATAAATCGGAAGTCATTTGAAACAAAAAATATGTTAAGACAAAGTTTCTTCTATAAAATAATTCAATGACAATACAAAAACGAATAGTTCGATTGATGATGGTCTAAAAGTTTCAAGAAAGTTTGTCTTTTGTTTTATGGATTTGTTCTCAAATAGTTTATTTAAAATCAAAATATTAAAGTAATATTTGACTAAATATTCAAAATTCTTGAGTTTAAAGTTGCTTAACATAACCCTTTTATGAGTATCATTTTCGTTCACTTTCGATGATCACTCTTACTACATATATATACACTGTTCATTACAGCAATATCATTCATATTATGTTTGAATAGTTGTATTGGCATAAAAAAGAATAAATAGCATATGATTTGATAAATAAATCATTCCACAAATTACTTACTTTATAGCAAAACAAAATTCACCGGAATATTTTACAGAAAATGTTTGTTCTTGCTGAAATGAAAGCGTTTGATAGACAATTCAATAGACTTTCGGCTATTTCTCTGTTGTAAGTAAGCTTATTTTTCAACTGCTATCAACAATGCGATAAAACCAGTGATGCATGATAATACGTCTGTCACTGGTCAGTTTTACGATTGTGAAAGTGTGATAGTTTCTTTTTCATACAAAAATAGTATTATGTGATTCAATTATAAAACTTGAACTAGTAAATGAGATAGATAGTGTGTTATGTTATCATTTGTGAAAAATGAAGTCTTTTAATACCATTAGATCTAAGAGTTTCGTAATTTTTAAAAACTATTTACAATACAAGTCTTTAAAGATGCTCGTACAAAATACTTTTCTTTTTCGAATAGAAAACAACTAAGTTCTTACAATATTCTTAAATCAATAACTACTTCTCGTTCACCGATAGGAGATCAGTAACATATTAAACTGACAAAATTCTGAAAACTTTTGGCTTTAATCCTTCTGTTTTAATAAAATCCTTGCGACTATTTAACAACAAAACAATGTATAGCGAAGAGAAGCACCATTCACTGAATAAATCATATTTCTTTTTCTCCTTTATTTCAATGACAAGGTGCTGCACGCATATTGACGTACTGAAGTAATTACGGAGATGAATACAAGAGAAAATTGGAAAGAATCACTATAAAACGAAATCATTCCGTTGGTTTCTAACTTTTTTGTTCTGTCGCGAATGTTGTTTAGAAATTTATTTGTCTTGTTCTGTCTTTTACATTTCACAACAGTATCTTAAAAGGTAACTAGTTGAAGTTTCTCTTTGAATCTTTACAAAAAAGACACACATTTTGCATGCTAAAGAAAAAAACAGAAAAAAAACACTATTACCATTATAAATAAGAGCGGTAGGTTTTTTTACCATTTAAACAACAACAATTATTAACAAGCTTATATTCAGCATTGATTTATATAAAGAACAAAATGAATGAATCAGAATCTAATCAAAAAGCTTCTTTACCATCAAATCCGTTCATAAATAACAATAGTGCAACAATAATATCACCTGATGTTATTCCACCAAGGCGACGGATGGTTCAAAATTATTCACTCCTTTGGTTAGATGAGTGTATGGACGAAACAAGCAAAGATTATGAAAATATTTTGACACAAATACGAACCATTGCCGACAATGTCAACGTCTTTAAGCGACCAGATGAATGTATTGACTTTCTTAGTGATGCTCAAGACATCAAGTCTTTTCTCATTGTCGAGAATAGTATGGCTCAACAAATCATGCCCCTCATCAATGATATTCCTCAGCTGGATAGTGTTTATGTCTTCAGTAATATTAAATTCTTGCATGACGAATTGAAAAGAAAATGGCAAAAAATCAAGAGTGTTCATACTAACATTGATGACTTATGCAAAGCATTACAATTGGGTATCAAGAAATACAATCAAGAGACTACTGCCATGAGTTTTATCACGGTAAATGAAATGGCTTCTATTGATAATTTAAATCAGTTGGATCCAACATTTATGTATACCCAGATATTCAAGGACATCATCCTTGATATGGATCATGATAAACAGGCCATCGAAGAATTTACTACTTATTGCCGACAGAATAACTCTGGATCGCCAACGAGCATTGGTCAGTTTGAAAACAAATACTATACTCAATCAGCTGTTTGGTGGTATACTTCTCCCTCATTTATCTATTCTATGCTAAATTATGCTCTTCGCTCTATGGAAACCGATACAATTATTAAAATGGGCTTTTTCATTCATGACCTCCATCAACAAATCCTACAACTACACGACCAACAGGCTATTAGTTATCATGGCAAATCATTCATAGTTTACCGCGGACAAGGTCTATCCAAACCAAATTTCGAAAAACTCAAAAACACAGAAGGTGGTTTAATGTCTTTCAACAACTTTTTATCCACTAGTACGGACCAAAATACGCCCCTCGGATTTGCTTTAAGTGCGTTAGAAAATGCAGACATGGCCGGTATCCTGTTTATAATAACTATTGATCCCAATGTCAAATCAGCACCATTCGCCTCTATCAAGGAGCTGAGCTACTTTAAGGAAGAAGATGAAATTCTTTTCTCAATGCACACCGTCTTTCGAGTAGGTACCATTAAACAAATGGACAATAATAATCAACTATATCAAGTTCACTTACAATTAACATCAGATGATGATCAACAATTACAATTACTTACTGATTGGATACGAAAAGAAACTCTTAGTAGTACTGGATGGCGAATGAAACTGAACAAAAAACTTTTCCTTCAAATCATCGTTCACCGGCTGATTCATATAGCAACATCGGTTTACTGTGTTACAAAATGGGAGAGTACTTAAAAGCACTTTCATTTTACGAAAAAGCACTCGAGATTTGGCAAAAAACGTTTCCTTCAGATCATCCGATATTGACACAGTCATATAGTAACATCGGCGATGTGTATGACGAGTTGGGAGAGTACTCGAAAGCACTTTCATTTCATGAAAAAGTACTTGAAATTCGAGAAAGAATTCTTCCTGCAAATAATCCTATATTGGCTAATTCATACACCAAGATCGGTGATGTGTATTATAAAATGGGAAAATACTTGGACGCACTTTCATTTTACGAAAAATCACTTAAAATCTTTCAAAAAACTCTGCCTTTAAATCATCCTAATGTGGCCACTTCATACGGCAACATTGGTAATGTGTATAACAGCATAGGAGAGTACTCGAAAGCACTCTCATTCTACGAAAGAACACTTGAGATTAAACGAAAAACTCTTCCTTCAAATCATCCTGATTTGGCTACTTCATACAACAATATCGGTTTGGTGTATAACACCCTGGGAGAGTACTCGAAAACGCTTTTATTTTACGAAAAAGCACTTGAGATCTATCAAAAAACTCTCCCTTCAAATCATCCTGATTTGGCTACTTCATACAACAACATCGGTGGTGTGTATGGCAAGATGGGAGAGTACTCGAAAGCACTTTCGTTTTACCAAAAAGCACTTGAAACGGAACAAAAATCTCTTTCTTTAAATCATCCTGATTTGGCTACTTCATACAACAACATTGGTAGTATGTATAACAGTATGGGAGAGTACTCGAAAGCACTTTCTTTTTTCGAAAAAGCACTTGAAATCTTTCAAAAAACTCTTCCTTCAAATCATCCTTTCTTGGCTACGTCATACAACAGTGTCGGTACTGTGTATAACAGTATGGGAGAGTACTCGAAGGCACTTTCTTTTTTCGAAAAATCACTTGAAATCTATCAAAAAACTCTTCCTTCAAATCATCCTTTCTTGGCTACGTCATACAACAACATCGGTAGTATGTATGAAAGTAGGGGAGAGTACTTAAAAGCACTTTCATTATACGAGAAAGATCTTGAAATCAAACAAAAGTCTGTTCCTTCAAATCATCCTAATTTGGCTACTTCATACAACAACATTGGTGGTCTGTATTACGCTATGAAAGACTATTCAAAATCGCTGTCATTTTACGAAAAATCACTTGAAATCTATCAAAAGACTCTCCCTTCAAATCATCCTTTATTGGCTAACTCATACAGCAACATCGGTAGTGTGTATAACAACCTGGGAGAGTACTCGAAAGCACTTTCATCTCACGAAAAATCACTTGAAATCTATCGGAAAGCTCTTCCTTCAAATCATCATTCATTGGCTACTTCATACAACAACATTGGTAGTCTGTATTACGCTATGAAAGACTATTCAAAATCGCTGTCATTTTTCGAAAAAGCACTTGAAATCTATCAGAAAGCTCTTCCTTCAAATCATCCTTTATTGGCTACTTCATACAACAATATCGGTTTAGTGTATTCTGATATAGGAGACTGCCCGAAAGCACTTTCTTTTTGCGAGAAAGCACTTGAAATTTGGCAAAAAACTCTTCCTTCAAATCATCCTAATTTAGCTACTTCGTACGGCAACATTGGTAATGTGTATAACAGCATGGGAGAGTACTCGAAAGCACTCTCATTCTACGAAAGAACACTTGAAATTCGAGAAAAAACTCTTCCTTCAAATCATCCTGATTTGGCTACTTCATACAACAACACCGGTGGTGTGTATTACGATAGGAAAGACTATTCGAAAGCACTATCATATTATGAACGCGCTTTGGACATATGGCAACGTGTATTACCTCCAACTCATCCTCATATAAAAATTGCGAAAGATAGTATCGAAATTACAAAAAAGAAATTATAACGAATAGTTGATAAATAAGAGAATGTTGTGTCCGCCTATTTGTAAATTAATTCTATTTTCTAGTGGCTTCCGAATGGATACAGAGAATAATTCTGTACATAATTAAAACCTGTTAGAGAAAGCCTACTCATAAGGTGTTACACATACATACGTATGTTTATAAATGATCTTTTCAGACATATCTACGTTTCGTATTCTTTACGAGTATTCACTGTAATAAAAAAATAAAAAAATAATCTTAAATAGTGATAATGGAATAAAGCAATCTAAAAAGGAATAGCTTATACATAAAGTAAATACTAGAAATTAAGGGTGTGAGTGATATCAACATCTATCAAACCGACACCCACCGATACACACCCCATCTATTATAAGAGTTATGAAATTAAAAATCAATACAAGTAATGTTGAATGACTGTATAAATTTGTACGTGCTACTTTTTTTGCCAAAAGATGGTAAAAAACTAATACATAATATGGAAGAGTTAATGCTTCACTAACAAGATATAACGAAAATCTTATATTAGATCAATTTGGTGGTGGATTAAAATTTTTTGTACTAAGTTCATTTATTTCAGAATGATTATTTGTCATTTAGAGAAAAACTGACTAATACTGATCTTTTATAATTTAACTGTGTGACATGTCAATTACATCTCTTCATGGATTTCATTTATAAACATAAAAGTATCTGTTTTTTATGTTTGATCGTCTAAAGTTCATGCAAACTGCATGATTAATCGTTTGTATTCATAAATAACTAAGCAGCAAGCATGATCGAGAAGGATCACAGAAATAAAAGATAACAATTCTAAGTTTTTCTTTCTTTCGTTGCCCGTCCTCCAGGTGCTGAATATTTGCGTTTTTTAGAACTTTTCTTTTGAATCTATTTGTCTGTTTAATGTAGTGTATAAAATTATTAGTAGGATTTAAGGGCAAGTTTTTGTGCTCATATTAACTGCGTGTCAGTAGAGGTTTAGGACTATATATATATATGTCGTATGAAAGGTAAATTCTTTTCAAAATTATAACTTCAATACAATATGCATACACAGAGGAAATAAGCTAACCAAACTAATATTGTGTAATTCTAATACAACATTCACGTAACAAAATAGTTGAGTTCGAGTTTTAATCAGCATTTTATATTGTTAGTAAATTATTTCGACTTCACATTACAACACGAGCGGCAGATTCTAAAATTGTACAATCCGAAATATACAATTTCAGTTCATTCACGAAGCGATTGAATTCATCAATAGTCATTTCATTCTTTTGTTTGTTATTGTCAATTGTAGCAAGATCATCGTTGATTTCGTGGAGCATATTTAAGTTCGCGGTACATCTCCGATAAAAATTCAAAAGAGCACGACCATTCATTTTTCCGTATAAGTGTATAAGATAATAAAACTTTCTTTCAGTAAGAAATCGCTTGACATGATCTTCAGTCCATTGGCGAAGCGAAGAGGGAAAACTAAAAGGATTGTTTAAATAAAAATGAAAATAGAAAAGTTGACTTACTTGTTCGTCGTCACTTTATCTTTTAATCCTTGTAATACTTCTTCTGTTCTAATTAAACATCGATGACTTGCGTTGAGATGCTTCTTTAAGATGATCTTCGCTTTTTCTAGAAGAGATACTGTTTGAACCACATTTTTTTGAGGATCGATCATTAGATAACAAAGACTCATTCCATAATATGTCAATCCAATGTTAGCATGATCAAGTGGAAGAGATCGAACGAATATTTGATGACAGTGTTCATATTCATTTAAAGCCAACTGGAATTGAGAACGATTTCGATAATAATCAGCAATTTTCAACCTACCCACACCTATTTTTGGATGACCAGATGGTAACATTCCTTGATATATGTTTAGGGCTTTTTTGTAAAAGTCCAATGGTTCATTTTGTCCTTGAGAGATTATCAACAAAATACTGCCTATATTCATGAAAATTTCAGGCGTAGCTCTGCTATTTCCCTCTCCATTAGTCATAACCATTAGTGTATTCCATGCTTTTTCATATTTTTGATATGCTTTCTTAAACTGTCCTGAATGCTCATATACTTCACCGGTAAGAAGATGATAGTAAACTAGATAAAGTTGATTAAGATCAAAATCAGAATCTGGATATCGTAGATATTCGGACCAAAAAAGACATTCGTCGTCATCACCTTTCTCTCGAGCAATGAGCGCGAGCATAAAACGATAATAATGCAGTTTCTCTGTAATTCGTTTCGCATGGTCCACTTTTACGGTTTCTGCTCCAAGACATTGCAATAATTTTTTCAAACACTCATCTTCTTGATCACGTTGTTGAAGAACTTGTGGATCGAGTTGAGACACATAATCAATCATCTGTCGGTAATATGATTCGGCTTCATTCAATTTTCCTGATTCATGAAGTACTTTTCCCATATCTGAACGTGTATACACTTCGTGACCTTTCATGTGTTTATAAATGGTATTTAGATAATTGCCGTCGTTTTTCAATAATGGACTCTCGAATTTTGACATATATATCAAGTTAATTTTCCAGAATTTTCCTTCTTCATTAAGTACTTCATTAATTCGAAAAAGACTACCAATTGAAAACAGAATTTCTTGTTCATCAGGAAAAGAACTTTCAGCACTAATATTAGCAAATGGTTCTCGCATATAAAGTTTACTACATTGAATAGTAATTTCAAAGAAAACCGGTTCAATATTATTAACCGATGAATTATGATTAGGAACATCGACTCGAACTAAAGCATATTGTTTATTAAGTGTTGTTGAAAAAAAGGTTTTCATCGATATAATACTACCAACCAAACGTCGTAAACGATCAATCTCATCTCTTGACATAAGTTGTCCACGATAGCAAGTCATATTTTCATTTACTGATGTCAATTCGCCTAGATCACTTATTCGTTGATGGATATCTCGAATAAAAAATCGACAAAGTAGTAACATGGTAATATTTTCAACACGAAAAGCTTGATTGAGTAAAGGATAGAGAAAAGATTCTCGTGTATACCACCATATAGCATAATCCGCTTCGTATGTATCTTTAAATTCGTCCACTATTTCCAGTTGCTTCTGATTACTCTGTTGCTGGAGTGAACATACTTGAATAAATTTATCTCTATTTTGAGGAGAATCAACAAGGCCGTCATTCAATACATCTACTAGTGCTTCCATAAACAGTTGAGAATGAAGAAACGCTCCATTTAAATGTGCCGAAGATCGTTCTCCAGTGCCTTCTAGAGACTGCAAATCACAAATACCAAGTGGAAGCGATCCTTTGCCTTGAAATCGTTTTCTTGGTGCAGCCAGTTTCGTTAATAAAATTGCTTCGTCCATTTCTTATCAACAAAAACAATACTATTATTATTTTGTAAAAATAAATAACGAGAATGACGGTGACGTTACTATTAATAGGTGTTTTGAACTTCCGTTTTCATACCTGCATCCTAAATAAAAGTCATGAATACTTCTCATTCAAGTCACGAACCACGGATATAATAAATATTAACGATTTCAGATATGTTGGAAAAAATATCACTTTTGAAGGTGTAAGTGCGAGCATGAATGTTTAACACTCATTTGCATAGAAACTAGTTGGCAAAACTATTTTTCTTTTTACAATTTTGTTTTATTTGTCAACGATAACACTACTAACCTTAGACTCATGCTGATCCGACGAATTAAGAATGTGGGTGTAGGTTCTATATCCATCACACACCTACACTATCATTCACACCCAGATTCACACCACCCTCTAGAATATTTGAATTCAAATTTCGTAATTGACACTACTGAGTTAGTGTGAGTAAGAAAGCGCCTATAAATTTATTAACAAAGCTGTTTCAAAAGTTACAAATTTTGTAGGTGAATGAAGAATGTACTTTTGAATTTTCTTTTTCACATACATATTCCACATCATTTTTCATTTCATCTCCATGACTCCTAATAACAAACACAAAAAAAA